TGCACCAATCCTTTATTTTTCCCAACGTCCAATGTCTGGTGGACCTGAATATCTGCTGTGTGATACGTGGTGCCGTTGATCAACTTGCGGAACTTAGCAGCGTACATGGTGTTCGGCTTTAGATTATTGAATCGTATGTTTGATGAAATTGTCTGGTACACGCATAATATAAAGGTGATAATATAATATAATATATTTTATACGGAGCCATCAAAAACCGAAACAGAAATGTTCACAGAATATAATTATTCGTTCAAAAACAATAGAAAGTATTATTTATTAACTACCTATACGAAATAAGCTTTTTACCAAAATTTTGTTTATATGTGAATATGATTTGTATGATATATACAATGTTTTGAATGTCATTAAAAAAAATTAACTTAAAAATATAAATAGAATACATAAACGTTTTAAAATTTGCTGTGGTACATATCTAGCTACTACACATATATTATAGCTATATACTTCAACCTATATTTAATATATTTAATTTTTTAAATACCTCTGATATCATAGGCATGTCCATTGTATCGAAAGGTATTAATTCTGCAATTATTTTAACACCTTCAGTTTTATTCTTCGTAGTCCATACGTATGWTAATGAATCAAGTTCACGGCACAAAATCCGCAAATTGTCTAACACATTTATATCATCTGGAATATAGATTTTATTTTACATTATAGTTATATAGTTTATATACACATAAAGGCTATAAGTTATTGCTTTATTATATACTTTTGATTCCGAAAAGTATTGATTTCTCTGAACTTTTGTTCTCGTAAAATGTAATATATATATATAATATATATCGCAATTCAAAAATTTTTTTCAACCTTGTAAATCATAAGGTAATATTGTATAACCATATAGCTTATAACATAGAATCAATTTTTAATGGTAGATACCTATAATCTACAGACGTTTTTATTTTCTGATGCAGAATCCTTAAGAAAATAATTTATGTGGATATTTTAGGTATAGTATAGGTAAGTTTAAACGATTATAAACAATTGGATATTAAACAAACAATATTCTGTATTTGTCATAACTTMATGCTTAGTTCATTAGTTGAATGGTGCGAGTGATGTGAWGTGGAATAGGTTAATTTTCAAAACTTGTTTTTCACTGCTTTATTTGTTTGAAAATTGAACGTTTAAATATGCAAATTTGCTAAAATATTTTTTTGCTCATGCATTATTCTTTATTTTTATCAAATTAAGATTAATTAATGAATATGAATATAAATACCTTTATCAAACTGTGTATTTTTGCATGTGATATTTGCCTGAAAAAAAAATGTAAATAAACATAATATATTTCATTTATTACTTATTACTYGTTAGTTTATTACAAATAATGTTTACTAAATATTTATTATAATATGTTGCAGTATGGTACTATTGGTACTTAWAGGTACAAATAAATATGTAATAATGTAATATATGCGTTTTAYTTATATTATAATACCTATAATTACATTATAATAACTAATAACTATTGTGTCGTACCGATTGGTCGACAACCCATTTCGCCGACACACAATTTTGCTGACAGTAAATAATATAAAATAAAATAGTATAATATAATAAAAAATTGAGTATCTACTTATACAGTGGCATATTTTCAATAATTTCTTGGAGGGGTGAAAGGGTTTAAAAAGTGGTTGAATTGGGGGAAGACGCAGGGGTGCTGAGCTACTCTTCATTTTTCTTCAAATTATAGCTACTCCTTTATTATATATTCATCAAGGTATAGGGTTACTATTAAATTAATTTGCTTAATTGTTCAATTTTATAGAGTCCACCTTTATTTTTTTTCCAATTCAACCACTGAGTCTAAAAGTCTAATTATCAGAAAACTCGTGATAAAATATCTATTTAACATTGAGTAACTCTTTTTTTTTGTCTGGGGGGGGGATTGAACCCGGGACCCCTCTCCCGTAAAAACGCCACTTTACTTATATGAGTTTATCAGTTTATTATGATTTATGCTGAGCTTCTGTTTTCYAAATGGAAATGGAACATTATTCCAAGTATTCCATATTTCCATAATACAGAGTGATACACTTTGTAGCCTAAAATTTTAATTTTAAACGTTCAAAAAAACAAGTTCAAGTTCAAGTTCAAATTCAAATTAATAAATGCTACACCTTTCTTTTGCAAATGATAACCTTTCCTCCAATCTTTTTGTATTACTGATGTAGGTTAAAACCTCTGAGTAGGTTCGACAAACCAATACATTGGAATCTAACTATTACATTTTAGGTATTGGGTTTAATTGTAAAAAAACCATTTATTACACAACGTCAGTATTGCAATATAGGAATTAGGTAGGTATCTATCTAATTAGTAAGAAATTTCACTCAGAACTAACTTTTTTTTTTTAAAGAGGATTCGAGAAAAAATATTTTAGAGATTTTAACGTTGTATTAACGTTAATTTAATCATTTGGCTGTTTTAGCGGTCCAATATAAAAATACTGATGTAGACTTGTAGATTTTTGATATCAGGTATGCATTGTATATGTAGATAATAAATTGTGACACTGAAATCAATCCATTATGCATTTGTAAAATTATTGATTGGTACCTATATATATTTAAATAATAATATGATGCATTGATATATGGTTAAACAGTAGGTACCTAGTAGATATGCTATTATATTACCTAATACCTGCTATAGTGTAATGTTAAATGTTTAGTTTTATTTTTCTTTATTACAATAAGTGTATTTACTATGTAGCTAATACRTATATTATGTAATACAAATATGAATTTCAAATTTGTGTATTTGAAATTCAAATTTAAATACTAGTGAATTCAAAGAAAATTCGATTGACATTATGCTTTTAGTAGGTAGGTATATGAGCTATATTATAAAACCAATAAGATAAACCATAGTGAACGTAGGATGTAGGTTGTATCGCATAGGTACTATATTTATAATATATAATACAACTTAAAATTTATAAATTGCATATGTGTACAAAACTATTTGTAAAAAAATGATAATGTATAGTGTGGTAAGCATAATAATATGCCTTTAAATAAGTGAACAGTGCACCTACTTAAACACTGCAGTTTAGTTATTGTCATTTGTCGGAATATAAATACATCAAGGAGCAATTTTTTTGAATAGATACCTTTGAAGTTCGAGGCTAACTGATAACACACTCATTYTTCATTTTTTCCAATACTAAAATAGTCATAATAGCTTGTAAATAAGTATGATGAATGAAAGTACTYACGTAGGTACGTATAATAGAATAAATATGTAGGTACTATCATATGGCCTGCAGGCACCAATATGTTAAGTTGTCAGGACTTAGAAACATACAATGTGCAATATACATACTAATAATCATTATAATATAAAATATGGTTTTTAATCAATACTGATTATATTTGGTGAAATTGTTGTTAAATAAATTAGTTGCCAAAATATAAATTATGACACAAAAAATATTTGAATGTACCTAGGTATTGCTAATGATAGTGAAAGATGAACAACAATCATCATAATCACATACATTATAATAGATTATTAAAAAAATGAAACGTAAAAGAATTTTATGTATATTAATTATAAATTCAAAGGTATCCCTGACAAATATTGATAAAATTATGTTGTTGTATTAAATTATATCGAATTATACAAAATAATATTTAATATCTTATGATTATTGTACATGTCAACCATATTACATTGTTACAAGACAAAAAGTTTGCGACTTGTCAACTTACAGTACAGCCAGTATAGGTACTTTAGTCTTTAATACCTAACTATGACAAATGTATACTGTGACAAATTAACCATACGAGTTATACGCCCAGTTAAAAATTCGAAAATGTCACAGTTGCCGAGGGCTATTTCTTTAATTAAAAAAAAAAAAATTCGAAAAATATATGAATACCTAATTAATTCTATCATGATCAATTATCGTACACTATGCTGTCATAGTGCTGATACATAGCTAGACTTCGCAGCGTAATACAAATTTTTCAGTAACTGTGTCACCAACAAAGTAAGTTACACCTACATAGGCAAGGTATATAATTTTATAATTTTGATATTTAAATAACACATGGGATCACACATTYTTCCGATTGGTAATGGAAATTACTAACCTATCTAACAAACACGCAATACTAATATTTGATGCTTATAAAGTTGTATAAAATAGCTGTATGGTAGAGATGGTGAGTAGGTCACTTTAATGGGTGATGGGTGTGTTAAATTTTAATGTAATGGAAGGTAACATTGTATACGAAATGATTTGTCAGTCTATATATATTATAATAATTATATTTAAATTATAATATATTTTTTTATGTTTTGATAGTCATTCCATTTTGAGAAAAAAATTACTTGACCAAAGGTTCTAAAAAATATATTAATGGAACAAAAAACTAGATGATTTAGACGATCAGAAGAATTAAATAATAATMTGTTATAGTAACTAATCAATTAGCAATAGAACAAAGTACCAATAACCATCATAGAATCTAAAATAAATAAAATATCAATATAAATTTAAATTTTATACGTTCACAAAATGTTTTCTATATTGACTCTGAAGTTTTTTTTACAGTTTATTGAAGAAAAAGTTATGGAGAACTTTGTGTTGGGTTTTTTAACCTTAGGTATAAATCACAACAATTTTATGAATTTTCAACCTCATAAGTCCATGCACATTTTCGTAAACATTTTAACTTAAAATGCTTATAGACAAAAATTGTGACTAACGATTTTTTATTTTTTTTTATTGCGATAAATGCAACTTACAATAAACCTTATAGTAAATTTTAAAGATTTTGTGGTTAGCCAATTTTTTTTAGGCATTTAAATCGAAAATTTAAATTGTCTATAAATAACATTACAAAATAAGTCAAAATATTTTGTAAATGTCATCGCAAATAAATAATGGTAATTTAAAATTTTGGTGAAAATGTACAATGATTCGTTTTTGTAACAGCCAAATAAAAAAATCGATTTTGTCGAAAACTGATTATGCGCAAAAAATTCCCGTTTTTTCGTTACTTTTTAGGGGTTTTCCTGATGCTTTTTAAAACTACTGAAAATGTTTTACTTTTGACACCCTAAAGTAYCAGCTAGATGATATTTTCTTTTCAAAGAAGGGCTAAAGTAAAAAATCAAAGCATTATTTCTACTCCAAAACTTGATAACAGACACAAAAAAAAATTTATAAAAAAACATACATCATTATAAAATCAATACATTTCTCACTTCATTCAGAATTTAAAACATCCCTATACAAAGTACAAAATTGAATTAACCTTGGAAATGTATAGCAGATAGTATATAGTGTATATAGTTGAAATATGATTCATACGGATTTCCAAGCCTATACATGATAATACTATTGCACTAACTTATCTAAAATTCTTTAGAGTTTTATTATAAACCATCGTTGGTGACTGCACAAAAATTAAGGTTCAATATCGAACAATAAGTATAGTTATTGTTWATAAAGAATAASATAATTTATTTTGTTGCTCTTGGCAAAATCATATAAGACTAATGTTGGATTTTATAATTATAGTGTCCTCTCAGTTCCCTTTCGGTTTATAAAATTGCAGTATTATGAAGTCTTTCACTTGTCGTTGTTGATCTTAAATGTTAAATCTGACATTCTTGATTTTGCGCATTGCAGAGAAGCCCATCTCAGCAGCTGCATTGGTGACAGCTAGGTATCACTAAAACTCRAGTAATTATTTCATTAATGCTGTCGCGTTACTATTATAATTCAAATATCTATTAAGCTTATTGTACCACGAGTACAGATTGTTAAATGTTCTTAATTCAAAAAAAAAAAAATTATTTCATTGATTTCTTTAAAAACAGATTTCATAATTGTGAATTATATTTGTGAAACTTTACAATATTTGTAGTATTTTCAAACATATTTTCTTACTAAAATTGATTGAGAAGCAATAGTTTCCATATTAAATATATTGTATCGTCCACAGAGGTGCAAACTAATTCGAATTATAGGGGGGGGAGGGTAAAATAAAAGTACCTATTCAATAACCAGCTATCATAAAAAAAATGTCGGTACGCTCACATAATCTATATACCTACTAATAACAACCTTACTCTAAAAATAAAAACATATAAATTGAAATAGTAAATATCAATTATAATAATATATCAAATAAAAATAGAAAACATTATTTGTGTTGTAGTATAACAGTATCCACTAACAATTTTTTTTTAAGAATAACCATTATAACTAATCTAATATGCATTTTCAAGAAAGGAGTAATAATAAATGAAATTGACACCTCATTTTTCTATCAAATTTATGTTTGTATTTATTATA